AGGATCGCCAAGCGGCCGAAGAGCTGAAGAGCCAGCTCAAGTCTCTGTTCGAGATGCGAGAACTTGGCGAGGTCAGATGGTTCTTAGGCATCAGAGTGGTCAGAGATCGTAGCCAGCGCAAGCTCTGGCTGTCTCTGGAGAACTACATCACTGAAAAGATGAAGGACCTCAACCTCCAGCCATCCACCAGAGGTCATTTGACGCCTCTATCAACAGACCCAGCACCTGCTCCAAAGGATTACGAAGCCTCTGCTGAATCCATTCAACTATACCAACGCAAAATTGGTTCCATCAATTACGCAGCAACCACAACACGACCTGATGTGGCCAAAGCTGCCTCAAGACTTGCGGAGTCTCTGCTCAGGCCGACAGAACTCCATCACCTTGCAGCAGACCACTGTCTCCGCTACCTCTATCGCACAAGGACTCTCTCGCTGTCCTACGGAGGATCAGGAGACCATTCTACATCGCTGTATTGTGCGAGCGACGCATCATTCGGCGATGATCCCATCACCAGATTTAGCTCACAAGGATACACCACCATGCTCTTTGGAGGTCCAATTGACTGGAAAGCTACAAAGCAGCGATCCGTGGTCACTTCTAGCACCGAAGCTGAGCTGGTGGCCCTCAGTGTCGCAGCGAGGAACTACCTTGCCACTCTTCGTCTGATCAAGGAGCTTCAGCTACGTTTTCATGGCAAGGTTCCGATCCAGATGTTCTGTGATAACCGCCAAACGCTGCTGTTACTCACTAGTGAGAGGCCTCAAGCCACTACGAAGCTCAAGCATGTTGACATCCATCGTCTTTGGATCCGACAAACAGTCAGACAGGGGAAGATATCCGTGGACTGGATGAGCACTGACAAGATAGTGAGCGATGGGCTTACAAAGATTCTCCCGACTCAGAAGCATCAGAACTTCGTGAAGCTTCTGCAGATGGAGTGCGTACCAGCGGTCCACCAGTGAACAGCTTGCTCAATTTCGCCCACCTCTCCTAACACTTACACACATCCTTATTTGCTTCACAAGCACGATTTCCTTCATCTGCCCTGAGAACGCCAACTGTTCCAAAGGCACCAAATTCTCTACCAAAAGCCGCCAACAGGCATCTGCCTGATCTTTCGTGGTTCAGATGGTCAGAGAGAGGCTCGCCTACCCATCTGAGGGGGTGTGTTGCCGATCAGGCAAGGTTCTGTTCTGTGACCCAGGAGTACTTTCATCCCAAATGTGGAGTCCTCATTTGATGCATTTGTTCTGTCGTTATCGCCCCGGTAAGACTCCTTACCGATGCTGGATCTGACCAATTACCTTCGTTTGGACTTCTGGAAGTCTCCTTTTGTACCTTAACAACAATCAATCCACTTTGTTCAATTCCGTGGTGACAGTAAGGAACTCAACAAAGTGGGTATCGTGCTGGAGCAAGAACCTACCCAGAGGCAGCCAGGAGCACCTGCCGTGGATCTGCTAGCTCGTCCGCAGCACCGGGTCGGAGGCGCAAAAGCCAAAAAAGCGTGCACCTTGCACGGGACTCGAACCCGCAACTTCCAGCTTAGGAGGCTGGCGCGCTACCATTGCGCCAACAAGGCTCCTTGAAAAGACGATAAGCATGTGGCATCATGTCGGCAGTGCGATGAACCTGCAATCTACCTCTTCAGTCTCGTTTTGGAAAGGAAACATCTTCCTCCACACGCTGGCAGCAACTTGCCTCACATTGAATCATCGCAGACCAGAATACGCCATGGGAAGATATGTCCCAACTCCGTTATATACACGGCATTCAGTTCTTTTCTTCAAGACACGACAGTTCACAAATTCTCAAGAAAGCATCTTGCTGATCGATGCTCTCGCACTTCGGCAGGTCAATTTACAAAGGCAGGCTTCAAGACATCGCAGGTTGAGCCCGAAGCCTTTGCAGCCTCACCACAATGAGTCGTCCCAAGCCCTCAAGCTAAGCACTCTTGGAAGATCCTGCAGAGTCTACCCAGCAATCCCGAGACCGCGAGACCAAAGAAGTGGATCGAGCCGGCCGGAACTCTACCCCATCTTCTCAAGCTGGGCGAGCACCACGACTAAAACCGGCCCCTGCGCAGAAACTTGTTCGGCAGATCAACATGCTTGGCCCTCAAAAACTCACACAAGTTCTTCCCCAGCGTGTCATACTCGCTCGTAGAGTTGAACCCACGGTCCAGATGATCTCTCAGCAGAAAGTGCACCGCTCGGATTCCCGGAATCTCGAACCGTTCAATCTTCTTGCCCTTGTTGCTCCCGTCCAGCAGCTGCCCGATGCGATCGATGGTCAAGACGCTCCGTAACCAATCCCACTCGTCGTCGTGCCGCACGTAAAATCCAACGTTTGCATCGCTTGCCTTGTCGCCGGACCGCCCGCCGACGATCCACCCCAACGGACCCCTCGTCGTGGGACCGAATGCCGCGAGATCGACGGGGTCGCGCGTCTCGTACGACTTTTGGTCGCGAGGATAGTCGGCGCAAACGTTCTGCTGAACGGGAATGTCGATGCCGCGGCCGGCCCACGGAAGCTCGACGCGGTGCTTCACTGCCGATTGCGGCAGCAGCGTGACGTAGTACTCCCAGTACGGTTTGCCTTCCGACTGGCGCTGGTCGTTGTGCAAGGACGCGCCAGGGCAGGACTGAAGGAAGTTTTCCATGCACCATCGGTTGAGCCCGCTGCCATCATGTTAGTGTTGAGGCGACGGAAGGTCTTGGGTCATGGCACTTACGGGACATCTAGTGTGAACTTGTCAACGAGTTCCCTCTTTTTGGTCTGCACAAAAATGCGCATGTCGACCGTAGCGATCTCCTGGTTGCGCGGATTCTCCGGACAGTACCCGTTCAGACTGAATCTTAGGCACGTGAGATCTTTGACGGCATCGCCCATCGAGTAGCGGATCTGTCGCTCCGTCCATTCGGCCTTCTCCTCGAGGTCCAAGCCCACGAGGTAGTAGTGAAACTCGGCCTGGTAGCCGCCCCATGCCGTGAGGCCGACCTTTGTCGTCGAAGGCGCGGCAAGGCCCTTGACACCAGTGACCTGAACCCGGTCCTTGCCTACCTGCGTCATGACGACACCTTCGAGGTTGGCCGTGACATCAGAGCCGTAGTACAGCGGTCCCTGGATCTCGTACAACAGCTGCGACGACACGGTGCCGACCGAGACCTCGCCACCTGTGCCCTCCTCCTTGGTGATGATGCATGAACCGTCCGAGTCCACTTCGGCAATCGGGAAGCCAAGGTTCTCGCAGCCATCCATCAACTGCTTGAAGCCAGAGTAGTAGCCGCCTGTGACGTATGCAGAGCATTCGATGAGATGACCACACACGAGGGAACCGGCGATCTGGTCGAGATCGCGCTCACGGTCCCAGCCGTGCCACCACATAGAGGCCCCGATCGTTGGGGCAGCGTCGGCCACGCGGCCAGCAATGACGATATCGCAGCCCTGACGGAGAGCCTCGGCGATGCCTGCGCCCCCGAGATAGCATCTACGTTGCCAGTTAGCGATGTTTGGTACGTCACACACAAGGAGACTGACTGCGCGGCCACAAATTCGTCCATGTGGCCCCAGTCTTGAAGTGGTTTTCCCGTCATGAGGCTCGTGAAAGTTTCGCCGTCCTGCCACATGCGCCTCACCGTCTCTGTCACCTCATCGCCGTTGATCCACCCGACCTTGAGATCAAGCCCCTGCTTCCCGACCTCGGCCTCGACCACCCCCGCCAGCAGCTCGGTATCGCTCGCACCGGCATTCACGGCAACCTTGATGTTCTTGCTCCTCAGATACGGCAGCGCAGGGCTCAGGTTCTCCATGAAGGTGGGGTCGAAGAGTCCCACGGGCTCCTGCGCCAACTTGCCGGCTTTTCGCAGCCGCTCGTTCTCCTGCTTCTGGGCGCCATGCAGCGTCATGGTGCATTCGGAGAGCCAGTCACCAATAATGCAGTCGATATCGCAGCTGCGAGCGAGGTCCCCGATGGCGCGCTGGCGGTCTGAGAAGCCGCCAGACGAGCCGGCTATGCGAATGGGGCGCTTGATCGACGGCATTTTGCTTCTGGTAGCGGTTCTGTCGTGAACTAAGGTACGTAAGATGACCTTATGGCCGTGTTCGATGGATGGCGTTTTCAATGGTATTCTCCAAGGAGAGTCTGTCCTGAACCTGCGATATATCGAGATTGCTGGCGAGTTACTTTCCGGCCATCGATACCATCTTTTCGGGATGAACCATGGCTCATATACGCCCTACTCTAGATATGGCGGTTGCCGGAATCCCTTAACCCCGGAGCCCCATGCGCCGGCACACGCCATGACACGCTCAACAGCACTGGCAGATCCGAGGGGCCAGCCATTGAGTCGTGGACATGGTGGCAGGAAGCTCCTAGGCCCAGTGCGGAGAAGGGGGAGGATAGATGTTCCAATGACTGGTTGCCCCGCTTCGCAACGACAGCTCGAGTGGAAAACCATATCCAACCATGTGGGTGAGCTGCGAAGTGCATTACCTGCCATGGGCTGGAAGGTACTGCTTGGGGAACCAAGACAGGGCTGGGCGGTCTAAGGAAACAAAAATCCGATGGAATACTGAATGTGGTAAGCTGGATCTACATCATTTTCATCGTGCATGTTTCCATGATGGGTGCTCTCCGCAAAACGACGTGCGGATATCCACACCCGACTCGAGTCAGGAGTCCAATGGCCACAACATGACATAATATTACAGCACTGCCAGATGAACTGCTCTTGAAAGTTGGTAATCGGAATCATGTTGGTGACTGGTCATGATGCGACTCCTGGAAAGGACCGTCTTACCGTGTGGCTCAGGTACCATGTGTTAGGACCGCTCCCGTTGTGGCTTTGTACGGCTCATCAACCGAGGTTCCCATTTCGACTGATAGCGTCAGGCATTCTCGGTATAAGGCGCTGCGCCTGTTGCTTTCCGTATTGCACAGCTGAAGCAACTGAAGACCAACTGCCTATCGCACAAGCTGCAAGCCGAGCATGACATCACGCCGGCGGCGGCGACTCGGGCCAGCTGACAGCTCCGGCGGGAATAGGCACAACGGCTTCGCGGGTCCAAATGTGCGAGGCGCCCTCGAGACTGAGGCCCTCGATCAGGCCGCCCTTGATGTTCGCCGTGGGCCGGGCCACCCCCTGGGCACTGCGGCCGTGATGCACGATGCGCGCGCCACACGTCTTGCAAAAATAGCAGTCGATCGTGGTGCCCGACTTGGTGGCGCGCGACCACACGCCGAGGCGTGCGCGAAGGGCAGGGTCAGACAGCGGCGGCAGGTCGGCGGCGGGAAAGGTGGCGGATACGCCAAAGGCGGAGGAGGACTGTCTGCGGCATTCGTTGCAGTGGCAGAGGTAGACAGCGACCGGGGCGGGGGTCGGGGTGCGGAAGGCAATGGAGCCGCACTGGCAGGCGACGTTCATGGTGATGTTGAAGACCTGGGGGTCGTTGCTTGGTCCGTGATTGATGATGCCGGTTCCAGTGTTGCTGGGCCAGTCGAGGTTGATATGATCAAGCATGCATTGCTGGATCATCAGAATGAGTACCGGACAGTGGGCAGAAGGGCGTGGATTGACAGGCCGGTGCAGGGCAGGTGAAGCCGGCGAACCTAGGTACTTAGTTACAGTACCTAGGTACCACCTAAGGTACCTTACCTAGGTGGTACCTTACCTAGGTAAGGTAGGTAGGTAAGGCGCCTAGTATGAGGCAGGTACAGTTCCGACCGAGGCAGTCACCGTGCCTAATAAGGTACCTTACTGCAACTGCCTCGGTACAGCAACCAACTGCCTAGGTACTGTAACTGCCTACGTAGCTGCGTACCTTGGGTACCTAGGTACCGTACCTTACCCACCTAAGGTAGGTACCCAATCCGCACGCCGATGTAACATGCTCCTCTGGCACGTGACCCCACTGACAGGTTCTGGGCCAGGCGTTCATGAGTCCAGGTCGATGACTTCACTTGATCGAACAAAGCTGCTGCAGAGCACCTAGAGCACCTAGGTCGGGGTCCCACATCATGTGATGGTCAATGCAAGATCATTTCGATGCCCCTCCATGACAGGACAGGTGCCAAGACCTGCAAAGCGCCAACAGCTTCCCCGCGCGGACCCGGCACCGGCTCTTCATCTCGTGCCTAAATTCCCCTGCATTGCCATTTGGGGAACCAGGTAATTATCCTAACCCAGCATCGATCCGGCCATGGCGCCCAAGATGCTACAGTACATCAAGTCGCCTGCCACGAATCACGGCATTGGATCGTCCGGCAGATGTGAGCCCTGCTCGCCCGGCACAGGCACATATGAGCTCAGCTCGCCCAGCCCAGCGAACATGTTGAGCACGACTGACGACTGAGGGACACAACCGCGTCGACATCTCATGCACTCACCCGCCACCATGTTGCCTTCTCTCGCTCTCGCCTTCGCCCCTCTGGCGGCCGCCCTTCCGGTCGAGAGCCCTCTCGAGCTTCTTCGCCGAGAGCCATCTGCCGGCGTTGTCATAAGCCAGTGCTCCCGGCCCGGCGTCCTCGCTCTCGCTTACGACGACGGTCCTTACCAGTACACCTCGGAGCTCGTTGACCTGCTCGACGCTGCTGGCGCCAAGGCCACCTTCTTCTGGACCGGCACTCTTTACGGCTGCATCTACGACCACGCTCCAGCCGTACAGAAAGCATTTGCGTCCGGCCACCAGGTCGCCTCACACACGTGGACCCATCCCAACACCTTTGGCTCCATGACCCCCGAGCAGCTGACGGGCGAAATGGACCGCCTCGACGACGCCCTCGTCAACATCCTCGGCGTCAAGCCCCAGTACATGCGGCCGCCGTACCTCATGACCGGCGGAAACGTCCTGCCGACGCTCAAGACACTCGACTTCAAGGTCATCACCACCGACGTCGACTCGGGCGATTGGGACAGCAAGACGCCTGAGGAGAGCCTGCTGCGCTTCACGCGCGCCGGCAGCTGCGGAAAGGGCCACATCTCGGTGATGCACGAGACGTACGCGAGTACCGTGAGGACACTGACGCCCTACCTCATCGACTGGGCCAAATCGCGCAACCTCAAGCTCGTGACCGTCGGTGAGTTCTCGCTCCTTGACTTGCCTTCTCGCAAGTCCGTGCCACTGACAAAGTCTAAGCTGATTGCCTCGGCGATGCTGACGGTGCCTATCGGGCTGGAAACTTCACCGGCAGCGGCCGGACGTCATGCTAGTTGCGGAGGGCCCGTGTCAAGTTCCCGCGCTGTGCGGCAGGCTGATGAAGCCGAGCACAAACAGAGTCGATGTCTCTCCCTTCGTGCTCCTAAGCGAGGCTGCTCTTGGAAATCTTCCATCTTCTTGTCCTGTCTATACTCACGCTGCATGGTCGTCGCCACTGCTGCGACTGTTTCATTCAATGATAATCGGTGCATTCTGCGAAAATTGCTACCAAACACCGCCCCCGAGTATTGGTCCCGGGGGGTCTGAAGAAATTGTGATAAAATCCATGTCCATCGAGTCATGAACCAACAGCCTGCAACTCAGAGCATCCCGGGAGATGATAGATCAATCTCAGGACACCATTTTCGTGCTTCAGGGACTCGCGTCTTATCCTCCTTGTATACTCGATGGTACCCGACGGGCCGTCCAGGGCGATCCATGTGCCACGGAAGCTGTCGGGCGAACCCAAGCGCCGTCTCGATGGAGGGCAAGTTCGCATGCCTTTCGCGCATCATGATGCTCATCCAGTAATCCTTGCCGTGGCCGCCGTACTCTGTGCCCTTCGTATTCCAATCTCTCCACCAGTCGTTCCCCGCACGCAGGACTTCGAGAAGCATGGTGCGGTTCCGGAGCGACAGGCCGCCGTTGTAGACCTTGCGGGTGTCGTTGAGCGGCGCGCCGATAAAGTCATACTGGAGGAAGTCGTCGACAGTCTGGGCCGCATTGGCGCACATTATGGCGTCCGCCTGGAAGACGAGAACGTGCTTTGCTGGCGCGAGCTGCTCCCACAGCCAGGGATGGGAGAAGTAGAGATTGACGGCTTTCCGCGTGGTCAGGTTGAACTCGGGCGCCACGATTCGTGTTTCAATGCTGCCTGCGTCGACGGCGCGGCGCCATGTTGCTGAGGTGGCTGAGGATGAAGCATTGGGCGAGAGATGCTCATCGTATGTCGTCTGGGAGGTGAAGAAGACGATGGGCCAGGAGGGTCCGAGAACGGCGTGGTAGTACAGAATGAGAGGTACCAGATGCGGTGTGAAGAGCGTGTCCGTTATTGTTGCGACCTTGTCTTTGATGAGGATGCCGTCCAATGTCATGACAGTCCCGTGAGATTTCCACCTGGATTGGACGGTCTCAACCAGCGCCTCTGGATATGCCAGGCTCGTGAGAATGGTAGCGATCAAGGAAACCACAACCACGAGGGCATGGCGTGGAGGAGGCACCCGCATCGTTGACGCTCCTGGCCGAGCTTTGGACCTTCGTGTGTGATGGCGGCAAAGAGTAACTCGCCTGACCGATACCAAGAAGCAGTGTTTGAGAAATCGCAGAGAAGTTCCATGTCCATCTCAGGGGAACGCGCAGTCGAAATTGGTCGGTCACCAGTGCGAAGCCCTGTGCCAATGGCCCGGAATGTAGAGAGTTTACCAATCAACGAGTGATGCCCCTATGAGCCAAATTCAGATGTTGCTTGTTCATTTAATGTCTTTGCGAAGCTGGGATGTAGCGCCCGAGTACCTGTCAGGAACTGTCCTGGCTATTAGGTTCTGCATCATGTCATGTAAGGGATGTGTAATGGCATTTGTCTCTCGTCAGCATTTTTCTCATTTGCGAATTTGTAGGTCATTGAGAGGCCGCTCTTGAAGTACGATCACATGATGAGATGATGTACTCGTTCAATTCTGACAAGTCCGCCACACCTCAAGCTGTCTGTGAAAGAAAAATAGTCTATTGTAGAGATAAATTCCAGACTTTTGCTTATTTGCCTGTCTAACTCATCAGTCTGGAGGCGACGCAGAGTTACCGTTGAATGCGAGGGGCTTGGTGCGACTCCTGAGATCTTACCATTCCTTTTCCTACCCAGTGGCCAGGCCCAACCAGGAATCCAGGGGGTTGAGCACCGCGTGGTTCTCGATCAAATCCGACCTTCATCACGATTGCAGGCCTTGCGATCCCTTGAATAAGGAGATCCTGTTCTCAGGCGGCGCCGTGGTGCTCTCGCATCAATCAGGTTCGCCGCCCAGGTTGGTCACATGGTGAGAGCCGCACCGCAACATCACAATGGCAAGGCTTAACAAGTTACTACAGCGGCTTGACGCCTGGCTTGATTCTTCCCCCAAGGGCTTCACTTCCGACATCCCGGCAAGGAAACGATATGTGGTTTTAATCATTCCACTAGTGTTCGTTGTCGTGTCGCTCGTCATGGGCTTCTCTCGTCTCCAGCTCATTGTGAGTGCCAGCCGCCATCGCACTATGACACCAAAGCCTGGCTGCTGATGGCTTGGTTCATGTAGGAACTCTCACACCCTGTGTCACAGGAAGTGCACCAGATGCCACCAAGAACGTCAAAGCTGCACTATCTTGTCCCCTCGAGCTTCGTCAATGATGCCGTTTGCGCGGGTATCATTTCTGCTCTTGTCAACCGTTACCCCATCCCAACTCTTATCGGGTACAAAGGCGAGAATGAATTCGACGCTGTCGACCACCTGGCTAAGGTTCGTGTCATCAACAGGTTCTTGAAAACCCTGCCTGCGGAGGATGACGACTTGGTCATCGTCGTCGACAGTTTTGACGTCTTGGCCCAGCTCCCCGTCGAGGTCACGCTTGAGCGCTACTTTGAGATGTCGGCTCGTTCAGAAAAACAATTGGCCGATCAGCGAGGGATCACCATCGACGAGCTCCACGATCTCGGCATTCGTCAGTCCATCCTTTATGGCACAGGAAAGATATGTTTCGATGCAAACCCGAACGAGCCCTTGTGCCCCTTTGTGCCTGGTTCAAACTCTGCTCAACAAAAGTTCGGCGTCATGACTGGAGGATTCAGCGACCCACGATACCGAGACTCGCGTTATCTGAACTCGGGTACTATCATGGCACCTGTAGGCCATCTACGCAAGTTCATGCATGCTGTGCAGGAGCTCGTCGAAGCTGACGACGTCATCGTTCCCCTCAACGTGACCAGTCATGGACGCTTCAGGCATCACATGGACCAGTGGTTTACCGCCACTCTTTACGTCCGCCAAGAGTACCATAGAGCTCTCGACATGAATGGTGGAAAATACCCTGGTAACTTGACCGGTGTCTCTGACCTCCCGAAGCCGAGAAAGAGCGCAAACGATACGACCGAGTACCACATCTTTGTCGATTTCGACTCATCATTCACCCAGACGCAGTGTCATAATGAGCTCGAGATTCATCAGCTAAACTACAGCAACCACGACCTCACGTCGTCCGTCACCGAAGACTTCATGAACGAGGGCAAGGCATTCAAGCCGCATGCTTTACAAATGCCCGCAAGTATTTACCAAGCCTTTGGTCGCGTCTGGGACAA